GACCTTTACACTGACAGATACTTGAACATCAATTCACAAATCTGATGTATATATAAATAAATATATAATAATATTGTATTATTGGTATATGGATTTTATTTTACTCTGTGTGTATGTGTATGTATGTGTGTGTGTGTATATATATATTTAGATATATATAGATATATATATATAATTTGTTTGTTTGTTTGCTTCAAACTTTTTCAATCTAAGAGCAATTAAAGAGACACGGTCACTCTGGCCATTCAGGATGGATGACGTCTGCAGACAGCCCCTTCCCTAGGCATGTAAACTTAGCCAGCCATGCTCCCTCGTTGCCCACCTGCTGCAGCATTCTTGCCTGTCCTAGCTCCAGTGTTAACTGGTGTCCGAGCCTATACAGGTGGGTGACATACATACATGGCGGTAGTTGAGCCTAGTGATTGACCTCAGTCCCAGCAATGTCACATAGGAGAGGTCACATGCTCCCTCACCCTTGTTAGCAAGGACTTTGGCAGTACATTGAGAGAACATGGTTGAGTAAGTATACATGCCTGGGGGGGTGAGCTATTCCCTGAAAGGGTAAAGTAAATGCGTCTCTTTAATAGTCTCATATATGACTCCATACTAGTCTTAATGTGATGTGTTAATATTCATAAAATATTGAATAAAACAAATATATTGATAAACTTGTATAAATTAAAGATACTCAGGTAGGTTTACTTAATATGGTAGTACAAAAAAGCACAAATTGCAGCAAATAAGAAAAAAAAAAAACAATAATAGAATTTCTGTAATCACTTTAAAATCCTTTTCTTAGAGTCCATTGAGGGACACAGGAAGTCATCAATCTTCACGGTATACTGCTGCCTACAGGAGGATTGGACATTGGCAAAAAAAACAAAAAACTCTGTGTGTAGCAAAGCATTACCAACAGCATGACCCCATGAGGGTGGGACCTATTGTCCTCAAAGGACTCCAACAAAATAATTTTACAATGAGTACAAAAACCCAATTTTCTTTCTCTTCCAATGAGGGACACAGCAATTCATTACCGCTCAGGATGTCCAAAAGCAGTCCAACTGAGGGGTGGGCAACACAGCAACAAATGCCAACAGGACTAAGAAAAAAACTAAACAGAAAACCTGGAAACTGCCTGCAGCTTGAAAGAGCCACTTGAGAGAACTTATGCCTGAAGCTGGCATCAGAAAAGGCTGAAACATCTACCTGGAAGAACGTTTGTCAACAAAAAACCAGGGGGCAGCCTTCCAAATACGGGAAACAGTTGCTTGATGCTGAAATCCCCAAGAAGCACTCGCATATCTAGTAGAGTGCGCCTTATCAGGAAAAAGGGTGGGACCTAATCCTTGAGACCTTAAGCTTAAATGATGGTCTGCCTGAGCCACCTAGAGATGCTGAAACGAGAAGCCGGTGTGCCCTTACTGGGTTCATCCAATATGACTTAAAAGGCAATCATCCTATCTGAAAGAAGCAGTGGCTGAAAGATGTACTGCCACAGCCCAGACCACATTCAGAGAATGGAGGGAAATTTCCTTTTGGTAAACTGGAGTAGGATAGAGGGACGGATTAACGATGTCCTGGTTGAAGGAAAAGGCAGAAACTACCTTATGCAAGAAGGAAGTCCTTGGCCCTCGACACAACCTTAAGCAAAACCAGAAAGGGTACCTTACAGGATAAGGCTGCCTCGCAGAATTGATGGCAATGAGCAAAACTATCTTGTGGGTAGGAGTAGAGAGAGAAATGTTGCTAATTGGTTCAAACTGCGCTTTTTGAAGCGCAGAGTAAACCAGAATTAGATCCCATGGAAACACAGGGGAACATATAGGAAAAGCCACATGGGAGGCCCCTAAAAAAAAAGTCCTAAAAAGTAAGAGGGCCAACGTCCTCTGAAACATGAGAAAAAGGGCAGAAGCCTGTCCCCTGATAGAGCTGAGTGCCAAATGCTTTTCCAGACCCAGCTGCAAGTAGGATATGATTTATCCCACAGAGAAACTTCAGGGGTGGAAGCCCCAATACCCACACCAAGTGTATATCTTTCATGTGCAATGACAGAATCTGCGAGAAGCAGACTTCCTAGCTTGTAGCATCGTATAAATCACAGACTCAGAAATACCCATCTCAGAAACTGGACATCAACAGCCATGCCCTTCTTAAAGCAAATGACTGTAAAAGCAGGATGGCGAATAGGTCTTTGGAATAGAAGAGTCTGATGATCCAGGCAAACCACTGTGGTTGAACCAGGGGGCCAGGAGGTCCACATCTGGTGTACCCTACCTGTGACAAAGGTCCTGGAATACCTCTGGTGTGGGGACCACTGTTTCAGGTCAAGCCACTGCTAGCTGAGGAAGCCTGCTTTCTAATTGTCTAGGCCTGGAAGATACATGGCTGTAAGGATTCTCCAATGACCAAGGCCCCAGCACCAGAAGGGTGTGCAGGACTCCCCCCCGAGCCAAAAAGATTGGTGCCTGTTGCGAGAATTTTCCAACAGATGAGAGAATTCTAAGATTCCATAGCTGGGTTCCAGAAATACCAAGCCAGGGACACCCTGGTCCTTGGTTGTAGACAAATCAGTTTGTGCAGTGACTAGATCATTTTCTCACATGACAACAGAATATTGTGTTGTAAAGTAAAACTGGGCAAATTAAACTGCTCAAAAGAGGCTACCATCAGACCTAGGAGTCTCATGGAAAAGTAGAGAGTAAGATGGCTCCTGGACTGCAGGGTTTGAATCGAAGACAACAATGTCAGAATTTTCACCTTTGTAAGGAACACTCTGGCCTGAGCGGTTTCCAGGACTAAACCCAGGTAATGCAAAAGATGAGTTGTTCCAGCAACGATTTGTGAATGTTAAGGGTCCACCTCAATAGTTGTAATGTATGGGAAGTCAAAGGCACATTGTTTGCCGCTGGCAACTGTTCCCTTAACAGGAGGTTGTCCAAGCATTCCACACCAGGTCTAGTACTAGGGTGGATGTGCAGATGAGAGGCCAAAAGGTAGGGTCATAAAATGGTAGTGCAGGAGCCCCACAGGAAGCTGTAGAAATCACAAATGTGCTGGAAAGATGGGAACAGGTAGGAAAGTATCTCTGTTGTGCACAGAAGGCAGAAAGTCTGCCTGGTGAAGGAAGGTGATGGCAGATTTGGTAAATGTAATGCTCAAATATTGGACTTGAATTAAGACATTAAGAGCTTTGAGATCCGAAATGGGGCAAATGCCCCTTTCGGGCTTGGGAACAGTAAACAGTTTTGAGTAAGATACCTGGAACTGCTTTGCCACAGGAACTGGGGCAATGAGACCTTGATCCATAAGACCCAAGAGTGTTCGATGGAGATCTGCTAATCTGTGTGGTAACACATGAAGCCTGGAACAGGGCAGGGAGCAGAACTACAGACCTGCACAAGCATCTGCAAAGGTTAACAAACGTCCCCCCACTCTGGAAAGTGGGGGCACACCGTAATGTGGAGAAAAAATTGTGTAAGGATTTGGCAGACTTTTTGGACTTCCGGGACAGGGAGTCAAGCACGGGGGTCAAGACATGGAGGTCGAGGGAGTGGAGAACAAACAAATGTTTAAGAGTTAAAGATGGAGAAGTCTTGGTTGTTCTTTAGGCTTCTTCCACTGAGAAAGATAGGTGCTCTTGCCACCAGTAGCATCTTTAATGATGTAGTCAAGAGCTGGTCTGAAGACACATTCTCCCAAAGAATGGGAGCCCATGCAGATAAAGTTATTTCTACATAAAAGGTAGAGAGAGTGGAAAAAACAATTTTGGTTTCGGCCCGACATTTCTTTTCATTTCTGGTTTGAAATTTTCATTTCGGTGCACCTCTAGTGAAAGCCTCAGTCAAGAGGGGAGAAAGCCCAGCCATACCCAATAGAGCAAAAGAGGAATCCAAAGATAGAATGGACTCTAAGAACAGAGGATAACGTAATTTAGGGCTGCAGATGTTGGCGCTCAGCAAGCGTTCTGAGCGCAGCCCTGAAGCTGTTAGTAGAATGTGAGCTAGGGCCATCCAGTAGAGTGTGGCTGCGTGGTGGTAAGGCAAAGACTAGGCTCAGGGAAAGAGGCCAAAGGTGAACCCAGTGCCCAAAGATCAATTCTAGGCTATCCCCACAATGTCCAGTTGAGTGAAGTCCAAACACAGTACTCCAAAGAACAGTCTGTGGACAACCATACCAGAAAGCTGCAATTGAAGACATGGAGCTCCAGAAGCAAAGTAGAGAAGAGCCTAAAATTAAAATCTAAGAAAATGTGCTAGTAAAAAATAGGTTGGTATTTAACACTGGGTTGAAGAACAAATGTCCATCCTCCTAGTACAATAGCAAAAAACTGGCATGCTGGAAGTAGGAGTTATCCTGAGCTGGCCTACAGTTGTGTTTGCTAGTGTCCAATCCTACTGTCAGTCACAGTATAACACAAAAGTTCATGGCTTCCTGTGTGCCTTATTAAGCAGGAAAGAAACAGATTTTGGCCAACAAACAAATTTACCAATATCAGCTTCCTGTAATCCCAACAATAACATGTAATGACCACCAGCAGAGATATCTGGGTCACAAGACACAATTATGTGCAAGTTACTGCATACAATACTTAGCCTATTTAGCTTTAGTAATTGTCTATCTGTTTTAGATATAAAAGCTCATCTCCAGGCAAAAATTAACCCCCGCTCCCAAAGTGCTTTTTCCAGTAAATGTATTACTGCCAAAATCCAAGCTTATAGGCTGATCACTATTGTTTGCAATTAATGCATAAAGCAGTAGGACAGCACACAATGAAATGGTGAAATGTACCTAGTACACCAGAAGATGAAAGCAATTCTTCATTTCCTTCAGGCTGCTGACTTAATTTTGAAACATGATCTGTTTCTATGCGGTTTTCCTGATCTTCATGAATCAAAGCTTTGTCCTTGTGGAGTTCATCTTTGGGTCCTGTCCTCTCATCGACCCGACTCCCTACAGATTGCAATGACATTAACAAGGCAACTGTTACTATAAAACTGCAGGATATTGATGCATTGGCTTGATGAAGTCGCTACTTAAGTATTTCAATACTTTGTATGGTGTAATACAATGGCAATCTTGAATACTTTTACTGAAATTCCCTCTTCGACATGTGCTCGGTGGAAAAAGTGAACTTTGCTGGGGCCAAGTTCTACTCTCAAGGAATGTTGTTTGTAATGAATACATTAAAGTAGTTAAGCATTAAAAAGCAACATTTTACCACTGATTTGATATTCTCGCATTTGCTACTTCTGAGCTCCCAGATAGGTGAAAGGCTTGCTTCTTATAACGGCATTCTCTGTCTCCCAGGCCTGGACTGGCAATTTTGGCATTTACATTTGAAGAAAAAAAATGTGTAAGCCCAAAGCACCCTGTAGAAGAAGCTGCTTACCTGTCTGCAAGGCAGCAAGCCCAATCGATATGTCTACCAGAGCTATGGGTGCTGCTGCTAATGCTTCTGGATATGTCAGATAGTGTCCCTTTATTGAGTTCTGTGGTCTTGCCTGCCAGATGCAACATCACCCTGTATTCTGTAGTGATGTAGTGGCCAGCTGTAGGAACCACAGGGTGCAGCGGGAAACCAGACACACCACGACAAATCTGAGAGCAGCAGGGCTTGTACTTCTACAGTTTAACTGTGTTCTGTAGGAAGGAAGTGGCCAGCTTGAGGAACCACAGAGAGGAGCGGGGGGACCAGATACACCAGAATGAGACAGAGAGCAGCAGGGCTTGTAGCCCCACATCACAACTGTATTATGTAGTGCCAAAGTTACCAGTGGTAGAAACCAGAGCGGGGAATCAGGCATAGAGTGCTGTGTCAGACAGCAGAGGGGCTCATAGATCTGGAAAAGAATAAATATTGCACCATCCAACAGTTAAGCGTGCAACTTCTGATACAGGGTGCTTCAGGCTATTTATTCATTTTTTTTAATCATCATAGAGTCGCTTTAAAGGGAATACACAAAATGTACATAAATTCTCTTTTTACCATAATCAGGATTTACAAAAAACACTGCCCCTGCAGAGCCAGAACACTGCAATCAGCAGGGTGCATGAGATTTGCAGATAACAGGGCTATAGGTCTGACTCAGCAGGGAGCAAGTTAGGCCTCTGCACAGAGACCACTGCTTCCTCACAGAGAGCAAGGTTCCTTCTCTGCAAAATGCTTTTAGTGGACAGGCTATTCTACTCTCTGGTTGTTTTTTGGGGGGGAAAAAGGAACTGTAGAACATTGCACGATGTATATAGCTTATTTAAACAGAAAGTTCGGTTTAAAGAAAATGTGTAATAAAGAATGGAAGGAGAAGTTGGGGTTTTAGGCACCAATTGACAAGTGCCAATGAACTTCAAACAACTATGTAGTATAAAAATATATTTTTAATTTGGTGTAAAAGTAAAAAATCATCAGTGTGATACATAGAAATAAAACAATGCATGTGAACAGGTGCCCCCCTGTTCCGCAGCGCCTTTGTACACGCATTTGTGGATCACATTGTAAGGGGGTAAGATCAATTGGCATATCTCAGTATTAATAGTATGGGTTGGTCTGTTTAATTAGATTAATGTTCTAGTATTTATATCATGTTTTTTGTATCATCTTTAGACCTCCTCCTCCTGATGAAGCGCCCCGCGGCACGAAACGCGTTGAGCACCATAATGCAAGTACGGTATCTCCAATGAGCTCTGCAAGTACTACACCGCCACCCACCAAATGTGTTTCCATTAAGAGGTTTCGGTTATTTCAGCCTACGGTTATTTCAGCTTAAGCCTACAGCCTTTATTGATTGTATCCAATTTCGAACTCCCTAATCATGTGTATAATTATTATCTAATCATGTACTATTACCTCATATATGGAACCTAGTGGGCGCAAGGAGGTTCCCATCTAATCATGCATTGTTTTATTTCTATGTATCACACTGATGATTTTTAACTTTTCCACCAAATTAAAAATATATTTTTATACTACATAGTTGTTTGAAGTTCATTGGCACTTGTCAATTGGTGCCTAAAACCCCAACTTCTCCTTCCACTCTTTATTATACTTAGCTAGGGGTTGGCACCTTATTCAGGACCTGCGCACCACCAATCCTTTTTTGTTAAAGAAAATGTGTAAAGAAAGAAACATAAAGGCTGACATTACTGGCTGGTCCCCCTGACAATGTGAGTTGCCTGGCCGTTGAGTTATACCTCTTGCCTAAATAGTATGAGCCTGCCCCTTAATAACCTATGCCTTTTCAATTCTATATACGTATTACAGGTCAATGACTGAAAATTGAGGCTCAGCATAGTATATAGGGAAGAAACATTTTCAAAAGGAGACCAGCAATACCAGCCCATGTGTTTATGCCGTGACAGTTTTACTTTAAAACCAAAAATTCAAGCCCCTTTTAGCGTTGATCTTTGTGCCACTGTGTGTGGACAGTGATCTCACTATAGTAAATAATACCGTTCCACCAAAGCAACAAAGATAAGTCTCCTAAGCAACTATGACGTGGTGTGCCTTTTTTTTTACCTCCTTGTCTGACCCATTTGCACTTATATAAACAAACACACTATAACTACAGTATGCAGGGGACTACAACTATAACTACAGCACTTACTAAAAAACTTCCAGCATACCGTGTTTCCCCGAAAATAAGACCTAGTACTATTTTTGAGAATTGCAAAAATATAAGACCTACCCCCGAAAATAAGACCTAGTTGTGGGCCGATGGTGGCATAAGGGGGAACTTGGGGAGCCGCGGGAGAGAATCAGCAGTGCCAACGAAGCCAGCGCTAGAGGAAGCGAGGCGGCAGCGGAGGTAGCAGAGCCGCATAAGCCGATATTTCCTCTATAGCGCCGGCAGAGTGATACCAAATGCACTCCGCCTGTGAGGAATCGATAGTGAAAGCGGGCTTCGCTCATTCTGGTTACCAAATTGCTCTTGGAAAAGTACGGCACCCCTGATTGCCCTGATCACCCTATTCTTAACTTTGCCATTTTGGATTATTTAACTTGGATTTGCATTAACTTTGGATTGTTGTACATTAAAAAAAAATAAGACCTACCCCGAAAATAAGACCTAGTGTGTTTTTTTGAGCCAAAAAAAATATATAGGACAGTGTCTTATTTTCGGGGAAATACGGTAGATATATCAGTGTGTATGTATCAATACAAATTTTTACAAGGAGGTGGCACTGTATGTAAACTCTAAAAGAAGACCTGCATGAGAAGTCTGCTATGCAGGGCATGCCTATTTTGAGTTATACTAAAATGAACCCAATTTTTTCACATGACTTTCATTTTTACTCGCTTACTGTTCCACATTGTAATTCCAGTTCCCATCCTTCATTTAGCCGTCAGAGAACCTGATCAGCATCAAGCCTGGAATTACACCAGTCATGCAAAAAATATGTTTTCTGCCCTGCTAGGCTCATTCTGAAAAGGCTCACTGGCTTTAGTAATTCTAAGTCACCTACCACGAAAAAAATTCAAATCTATTTACTTGTACCAGATCAGTGACTCAGAGCCATATAACGAGAGCATCAGTATTACAGCCATACAACTAGCATTTTCAGAATGATGCTAGGAATAGCACCTCCCCCTATCTGTCTTATGAGAAAATGTACTTTAAATCACATTGTCAGCAACATTTCTTTTATTATATTATAAACTTTGCCAGGATTTTTTGCAATTCCTAAATTGTATTTCAATGTTTGCAGTCAAATTTGGGGAAAAACTCACAATGTGTTTGTTATGTGTTCCTAATCACACAGCATACTAAAAAAATATTTCTTACCTTTCTAGTTATTTCTTTAGAGAAGGCTTTTGGGCAGATTTCAAGCTACTTTGAACAAGTAAAAAATTAAAGTGGAGGGGACAACAAAGTGGGTACAGACTCGAATTCCCCTCATAAGCATACAATGCAGAACAAAAGCCCAGAGACTTTAACCCTTTGTTAGGACAGATAGTGTGATAATGAAATCTGCCAGCACTGAACAGACAGGGATAGTTATGGTAAGCATCAATTACCCAGCCCCCTCCCTAAAAATACATATGCCGAGGAAAACCACAAGTAAAATGTAAGCAGCAATTTTAAAATATCTTGTTTTAAGTAATGCCAAGTGAATGGAACATGTAACAATTGAGCGTACGTCTAAAGACGCCCGCTCAGATCTAGAGAGATCGGGCCGGCCGTTTTTTTACTACGGCCGGCCCTGAGGTGGTTAAGCAATTGTGGAGCCAGTTCCCTGGCTCACTGTATAGTTATTGATGCAGGAAATGATTAGAATGGGGCACAGATAGTAGTAAACATGTTTCTGAACAAGGTTTATGAAAGGAAGAAAAACTGTCAGGTTTTCACGCTGTCTGTGTCATCACTGGGGAGATCTTACTTCCTGTTTTTCACCAAGGCAGGGGGTGAGATGAAATGAAATCACAGACAGCAATAAAACCTTACAGAAGTTAGAAGCCTTCTCCACTCTAAGATAAAAAAGACATTTTGGCCAGGGAAAAGATTATGCAAGTCTATTCTAAGTCGCATCATAAATGGAATACACAGAGAGAAGCAGTTTAGTGGCAACAAAATCCTAACCAAAAGTAACAAGCAAATATGTCTATTTTTTATACAAACTAGAATTACATATTATACACATAAATAGAATTATAAATTAAACATAGAATCAGGTCTCGAAAAATATTAAGAGGTTTATTTACATCTATAACATTCACAATGACCCCACTATTCAAATTATATTGATCAAATGCACATATTTCTTGAAACATAAGACTTATAGTTTACATTTAATATTTCACCATACTTTCCCTTACCTTGGTGGATCAGGTAATCCTCAAACTCAATTTGGCCTACATCACATTACACAGCACATATACAATCAATAACTACAGCACAACAAATCTTAAAGGGATCTAGACAGGATATGCTGAAATTAGTCAAAGCATGGCGTGTAGCTTTAATCATTTTGTATCATTTCCCAATCTAATCTGCTGAAATAAACATAATAAAATACTACAAATAATAATATAAATGTATTAACTTTTCTGGCAAATGTAACTTTTTTATTTTCCCGTTTCACAATTGAATTTTATACCACTTACTGAAAAGAAGGTAAAAATCTTAAAAAAAAACAAAAAATTAACAACATACCTGTGCATTAGTAGCAGCATACCAAGTTAAACCTCTGTCATCTGGGCACAAAGCAAAAGTCACCTCACACTGATGCCATGCAGGCAAATCCACAACACCTTGTTATAATGTTAGAGAACATGACTGGAAGGATTACGTAGTAAATGGTCATGGTAATGGTTAGTAGCTTAAGAAGAATACCTGAGTTAGAGTGCATATCAGTAGTATCAGTAGACTCAAGCCTGATTAGATCTCTCACGAAGACAGTGTGCTCCCCAGAGTTAGCATCGTTACAATTATCCATGCCATGATGGCTCACCATGTCCCCATCACTCTCACGTGCAGCACTCTGAGGAGCTGAAGAGACAACACAGGTTAATCAACCACACAAATGCACTTTATCACACTATAGCGGTATAACCATTAGGCGATATTCTATTGGTGTTATACATTCCATTAATACCCATTCCTTAATGTTGATTATTTATTATTTGAAACTTGCTGGGTGATGATTCTGTGCAGCATTATTTCATGAAGATCTTTAATTTTAAAAAAAATGTTGCTGGTCCACAAACAGTATTGTGGCATGTGCCCATACACATCTGCAGTGTCATTTCAGGTGCATTCACCCTTCATTTCAGATCAGTTTGAGATGCTTCTGAGATCATTTATAGTTCACCGACAGTTGCATATGATTGCAGTTAACACTACAAGCTGCTGTTTTTGCATTCCCATTGACTTGTATTCAGAGATAAGCAGTTTTGAGGTTAGAAAAAGCCCTTGTATAAAGCCCTTAAAGTGTATGTTAACCCTACATGCATTTTTGTTGGTATGTTTAACATTATATTTCACTGTACACAATTGAATATTCAGGATTTCAGAGCCTCCAAAGAATCGAGCTAAAGTAATGACAGCTCCAAAGACTTTGGGACAAAATTGTTCTCTGTGCAGAAATCTCCTTCAAATTTACTTAAAGTGCATTTCAACTTTTGTAGCCAACTATATTTGTTGCATGCTCTCATTCACACAGCATAAACTTAAAAACAAAATATTGCAACTTACAGTTTTTAGATGTTCTATTCTGGAAACTTCAGGACTGAAACATCCTGGTTGGTTCTCACTCATTGAGGGTGTTCGGGGGAGTTTTGCTTGGATAATTAAATTTGTATGTCTGAGTGGGACTGTCTGTCCTAACAAAGGGTTAAAGACCTAAAGCCACTGTATATCACTGTATATGCACTCTTATACTGTCCCTATGTCTATTCCCCTATTTTTGCTCACTAGCATTTATTCTAACAACTAGAAGCTGCCTGTTGTGTCCTATGTATAATCCTTTTTGCTATTACTATTAGGGTTGCACAGATACCAAGTACAGTACTCGTACTTTTGAGCTCCAAGACTAGACTAGAGAAAAATTAGGAGTCAGCTGTCATTTGTAAGGAGCACACTGAGCTCCCGGGATTTGTACATCTCTGTTTTAATGTATGACTTTGTTTTTATAAATATAAATAAAGGGATGTGCCGATACCAGTTTTGCGAGTACGAGTACTGGTACTTGCCGAGTACTTACAAGTACGAGTACTGATACATTTTTGTTTATTGTCATGTGACAGTTTTTCTAAAACAATACAGAATAACGATTTCAGGACAGGGATGGAGCACCAGAGCCAGGTACACACACACACACACACACACACACACACACACATATATTTTAGGTATGCTGTGTGAATAGGAACACAAACACAGAGAGGGTTTCTCAAATTTGACTGCCAAAGTGGAACTACACTTTAAAAAAACAAAAGCAAAACTTGCTTGGCTAGTTTTGCAGCACATCTGTACATTTTGCAGCATTAATGGAAACGCTTTGCTACTGTAATCTAATTTATAAATGTGAAGGATTGCATGTTCTGCAGTTCTAAGTACTAAGATAAAGTGTTCAGTGTGTATAGATATTGGTATTGTATTAAGAGACAAGCATTTGTATTTCTTTTACCTGTTCCTGAGGCGGACCTGGATTCTGGCTTAGCCTTTTTCATTGGTTTACGAAACTGTGCTAATCCAAATATCACATTTCTGACTTTTGTCCACAAAAAATTCCCACTACGGTTACTGCTTGGCCAGGGACTCACCAGAACAACCTGAAATCAAATTAAAAGGAGTAAGTTTATTAACACGGCTCCCATGGGTAAGAACACAATACTGGGCCTAACCAGTAAGGCCAAATAAGCAATGATAATGTTCAAAGTGCAATTCACTACAAAAGACAATCTGGAGTTGTTTAATTGCAAGCAGCTCAAAGAAAAAAATGTAATTTATATAAAATTATAGGTTTTTCTCTTTTCTGCTGGGTGTGCTAAAAGGATGTGTGTTCTAATATTCAGCAGTCTGACTAATGGGATGGATAAATATCACAATAAAAAGAATACAATGGGCATTAAACTAGAGCTCATTTCTCTTTAAAACAGAGTACAGTATACCATTTCCCACACTTGGTGCAGGGTGTTTTTAAAAGACACCGTCACTTTGCTCTGAAAGGACAAAGTACAGAGTTTCTATAAGCAGAACATGCATCTGGCATACAAGAAATACAAGTCTAATACAGCGAAACAGCTCTAAATAAGTCCATAGTAAACCATAAATTTGGGTAACCTGATATACTGAGCCTACATTTCTATAAGTTGGTTTGAATATCGCATAAGGCTTCAAAATATTTTAAATAAAAAGAATTGAAATATTACTTTTGGGTGGACTGCCCTAGCCCCTGAGCCACCCCGCGCTGCAGGAATGCAAGGATTCTGCTGATGGAGAATAAACGCCGGGTCAGGGCCCCAACCTCACACCAGGCAAAATAGGCCCTCCATGTGCGATGGTAAATCTTTCTAGAAACCGCTTGCGATCTCTGAGCATAGTGGAAATAACCGCATCGGACAACCCCCGGTCCTTCAGATACCAGGCTCTCAACAGCCACGCCGTCAAAGCCAGCGACTGTAAAGAAGGATGGAACACAGGTCCCTGTAAAGAAGGACAGAAGACCGGGGCGCAGAGGCAAACACCACGAGGCGTCCACCACCAGCTGAACCACGTCCGCGTACCACACCCTCCGAGGCCAGTCTGGGGCCACGAGGATGACGGTGACGCCCTCGGCCGCGATCCGACGCAGCAGCCGAGGCAACAGATACAGAGGGGGAAAAGTGTAAAGTAGACCGTAAGGACCCCAAGGAGCCACCAGGGCATCCACTGCACCGCCCAGGAATCCAGGACCCGGGCCACACACCTGTCCACCTTGCGGTTGAACCGAGACGCCAGAAGATCCACCTCCGGCGTCCCCCAGCGACTACACAGCTGCCGAAAAACCTCCGGGTGCAGAGACCACTTCTCCGGATCCACCGACGATCAATGACCCTGCACGGTCAAGGAGCCCAGGACCCTGCCCCAGCCCCAAAGGCAGGCGTCCGCGGTGACCACCGTCCAGTGCACAGGAAGGAAGGACTTCCCCCGCACCAAGGCCGGAGATTGGAGCCACCTACGCAGGGAGGTCCTTGCCTCCCGAGAGATCGGAATCTCCCTGTCCAAGGACAGGGGGGACTTGTCCCACTGTACCAGGATGTTCCCCGCAGAGTCCTGGTATGATGTTGCGCAAAGGACACCGCCTCGAAGGAGGCCCCATGAGACCCAGGACCTGCACGCAAAACCGTATGGGCGACCACTGGCGAGTCCTCAGTAGCCGGACCTTGGAACGGAGTTTCAGGAGCTCGTCCCGAGGGAGAAAGACCCGGGCCGCGACAGTGTCCAGAACCAAACCCAGAAACTCCTCCAAGGACCGCACCGTGACCCCCAGAGCCGTCACCATCGAAGAATGCGACTCCGTCCGTAGAAGCAGATCGCCAAGGCACCCCACGATCGAAACCCCCCGACAACGCAACAGCGCCAGGATCGGGGCCAGCACCTTGGTGAAAACACGTGGGGCCGACGCCAGCCGAAGGGCAGCGCCACAAACTGAAAATGGTCCTCCCCCACCGCGAAACGAAGATACCGCTGATGAGACTCGCAAACGGGTACATGAGGGTATGCATCCCGAATATCGATGGAGGCCAGAAGATCTCCCTGACGAAGCCAAGCCGCCACGGACCGGATCCGCTCCATCCGGAACCGACGGGCCCGCACGAAGGTGTTCAAACGCTTGAGGTCCAGGATGGGCCACACCCCCTCTTTATCGGGCACAGTAAATATGTTTGAATAAAACCCTTTGAACCTCTCTGAGGATGGAACCGGCACAATCGCCCCCTGGGACAAAAGGTCCACCACAGCGCGACGGAGATCCGAGTCGCGTGTTGGACGGGAAAAAACGTTTTCCCGGACGGGACAGAAACTCGATCCCGTAGCCCGAAGAAACCAGCTCCCGGACCCAAGAGTCGGAAACGTGGGCCAGCCAAAAATCCGCAAAGAGCCGAAGGCGCCCCCCACCCTGGGAACCAGAGTAGGTGCCTGACCTTCATGCGGACTGGGGCTTGCTGGCGGGCTTGGCAGACTCGGGCTGCCACGGACGCTTGTAGGAGTGGGAAGAGGAGAACTTGCTAAAAAAAAAAACGCTTGTGAGCGGAGAAAGAAGGCCCAGGCCTACAGCGCTGCTCCTTCCTGCGCGCCTGGGGAAAGAAGGTACTCTTACCCCCTGCCAGATCCTCAATGATCCCATCCAAGTTGGAACCAAACAAACGGTCCCCAGTAAAAGGCAACACCTGTAGAGCCTGTTTGGAAGCCATATCAGCCGACCAGCATTCAAGCCAGAGCAAACGGCGAAGTATCACCGCCGACACCTTGGACACCAAGGGCGCCGCATCAAAGGCCGAATTGCAGACATAGCGAAGGCCTTGCACCAACTGGTCCGCCAATTCCACGAAAACGGGGGAGACATTCTCCTCCGCAAGCCCCTGATGTAACATCTTAGCCCACTCAGAGTCTGAGAGACCAAAGCAGACGCCAAGATCGGACGCATGAGCGCGCCCGAGACAGAGACCACAAAAGCGCCTCAGCCTTCCTATCGAAAAGGTCCTTAAAAGGTCCGTCCGACTCCGCAAGGCAGAGGAGAGCTGCACACTGTGTGTCCTTCCGTCAAGGCGTTTCAGGGCCGAAAGGAACACACTCCCCATCCGCCCGAGGCTGAAGGAAGCCCGGGCGGAAGTGACAAAAAAGAAAGGGCAAATTTGCCCTCATCCAAGATGGGCGACGGATGTCTTCAAAATGAAAGGAACGGCCACAGCAGCTCCACAAGAGCCATAGACCTCTCGGATGCCCATCCAGGAACCCAACCCACCAAGGCAGCCCGCACAGGAGCCCATCTATGGCCCACTGAAGCCCGAGCACCATGAGGCAGGGGGGAGACAGGAGGCTGCAGCTGTGAGAGAACAGCGCAGCCAAAGCTTACCGCACGGAGGGGGCCCGAGAAGCTCCCCCAGAGCCTAAGTCCCCACCAAGGCAGCCCGCACAGGAGCCCATCTACGGCACACTGAAGCCCGAGCACCATGAGGCAGGGGGGAGGGGGGAGACAGGAGGCTGCAGCTGTGAGAGAACAGCGCAGCCAAAGCTTACCTCAGCTCCAGGTCCCCACGACACATCCACCACAGACCCTACATACATACCCATGCGGAGCGAAGGCCGGACTCCACAGGGGAGACTACAAGGATCTACAGTCATCCAGCATGTCGCCCTGGGGACACTTGCTAGAAGAAATCGAGTCAAACGGAAGAAGGGAAAAAAATTTCTCCAGAGAAATTTTTTTAGCTCCTTACTCCTGACGCTAGGCAAAAAACTGGAGACTTGTCAGCAGGTGGGGGGTTTGGCCACCGGCAGGGGCCGCCCCTAGGCTGTGATTGGTTTTTAGTTTTGTGCCTAACGTCCTTCTCCTGCAGGTGGCGATATTACCCTACCATTCAGGATCTACGATCTGTTGCCTCTGTCCTTCAATGAACGGGAGAGAAATATACTTTGCCATATACACAGTACTTAGTTAGAGAAGAACATTTTCTTAACCTTTGCAGTGGGGCTACCCCCCACAGTGCAACGGTTAAGTGCTCGTTTTCGTGTAGGTGTGAAAATAAAAAAGCTATACTTACCGATCCATGGACACAGCTGGTCCTTCCAGCTTCTCCCCCCGCTCCAGCAGCCTAGGGTCCCGCGAGTCATCACGTCAAATACACTGTGTATAGAATGTGAGGCTGCCAAGGGACATATCATCGCTTGAGCAGAGAAGAGGGGCAGCATGGAGCACTCTAACAACCAGCCAGCTGCGAGGTTCAGGTCAGTCTATGCAAGGGTTAGGACATTTTTTTCCTGCCGTTCTTTAAAGCTGTGCCCAAAAAAAGGCAAGCAGGACTAGCAACTGGTATTGCTTGTAGTCTCCCAGCAGGTGATTTTATCTCTTATTACAGACTTACTTTGCCTTGTTTTGCACATTGTCCCCCTGTGTGGAGGGGGCACATCAGAGCTGCCCCCCTGATAACTGGAGATGTGATAAATGGGGTTTTAAACACTCCCAAGTATAAACAAAAAATTATCACTTCCAGTCATCTGAGACT